ACTACTGTGTGCCTGGTCATGAGTCAACATTGTGGAGAAAGATGGAAGGGACGAAGGGGACACATCCCTGATTCCTGAGGAATTTATAAGCTAGAAGAGAGCAGTTGACAAACACCATGAGACTGGGGCGACCCAGGCTCATCAGTGGAGCAGGCCACTGGCACTACACACAGGGCAATTTGCTGGGATTGGATCACTCAGAAAGGCCCATGAAGTAGGAGCAGGAGGACCACATCTCCCAGTTTGCCCAGTCCCTGTTTACATCTGTCACACTCTTTCACTCTCAGAAGTATCCTAGTTTGGATGATCAATTATATGGTCACACTGAGCAAGGCTCTTGCTCTGTGGGGGCACTTGCTGCCATATGCCACAGGCTCGTAGACTCTCAGAGCTGATGGAGCCCATAAGGAGCAGCCAGCCCAACATCCTCATTTTACATGGAAACACAGGAGACAGGCATGTGGTAGGGACCCATGTGGTACCATGTTATGTGTACAGAGAACACCCGTGTTTCTCCTGGAGGAAAGTGTTGCACCTGTTATTTTCCATGCATTTTTATTTCCACAGCATTTCATCTTCATTAATTCATTAACTAATTCAATAAACATTTATTAGTACCTGCAGTGTGCCAAGTTGGCTGCTGGGAATGTAGAAATGAAAGAAGTCTCACTTCCTCTAGTCTCTGAAATACTTTCAGTCTAATGGAAGGGCAAAATCATAGCACCAGTTGTATTCCAGCTTGATGGGTGTAGGGCACCAGAGAGGGGCTCTGCGGGAGCTGTCAGGGTTCATTAAAGAGGTCTCATAGGAGCACCCAGGAAACTCAGTTACTTCAAAGAGCAAAATTGATTTTGAGTTCATCTGGGCAGAGATGAACAATCATGCTTATTGATGAGTCGATCCTATTAATTTGGTTCCATGCTAGTATGCTAGTACTCTAAAAGTCATTGTTGTTGTACTTCACAGAACTAGAAAAAATATTTCAAAAATTTATATGAAATCCCAAAAGGCCCCGAATAGCAACAGCAATCTTGAAAAAGAAGAACAAAGTTTGAGGAATCAATCACCTTAGCTGATATCAATCTATACTACAAGGCCATAGTAATCAAAGCAACATGGTACTGGCATAAAGACCAACATATAGATCAATGGAACAGAATAGAGAGCCCAGAAATAAACCCACACTTGATGGTCAATTAATATATGACAAAAGAGGCAAGAGCATACAACAGGGTAAAGATAGTCTATTCAATAAATGATGTTGGGAAAATTGAACAGCTACATGCAAAAAAAAAAAAAGAAAGAAAGAAACTAGATCAACTTATGCCATGCACAAGAATAAACTCAAAATCGATTAAAGACTTAAATGTAAGACTTGAAACCATAAAAATCCTAGAAGAAAACATAAGCAGTAAAATCTCAAACATTTCTCGTAGCAATATTTTTTCTGATCTATCTCCTCAAGCAAGGGAAACAAAATAAAAATAAATAAGTGGGACTCCATCAAACTAAAAAGTTTTTGCCCAGCAAAAGAAACCACCAACAAAATGAGAAAACAACCCACTGAATCGGAGAACATATTCCCTCCAATGATACATCTGATAAGGGGTTAATATCCAAAATTTATAAAGAACTTAAACAATTCAACAAAAAATCCAACTAAAGAATGGACAAAGAATCTGAATATACACTTCTCCAAAGAGGATATACAGATGGCCAATAGACATATGTAAAGATGCTCAACATCATTAATCACCAGAGAAATGCAAATTAAAACCACCTCATACCTATCAGAATGACTATCAATACATCAACAAGTGTTGGTGAGGATGTGGAGAAAAGGGAACCCTTGTGCACTGTTGGTAGGAATGCAGATTGGTGCAGCCACTGTGGAAAACAGTATGGAGTTTCCTGAAAAAATTAAAAATGGAACTGCCTTATGACCCAGTGATTCCACTTCTGGGAATATATCTGAAGAAACCAGAAACACGAATTTGAAAGAATAACACTCCTATGTTCATTGCAGCATTATTTACAATAGCCACGATCTGGAAGCAGCCCAAGTACCCATCAGTAGATGAGTGGATAAAAGAGCTGTGGTACATTTATACAATAGAATACTACTCAACCGTAAAAAGAAGGAAATCTTACCTTTTGCAATAGCATGGATGGACTTGGAGAATATTATACTAAGTGAAATAAGCCAGTCAGAAAAAGACAAATACCATATGATTTCACTTATATGTGGAATCTAATGAACAAAATAAACAACATAGAAACAGACTCATAGACAGAAAACATACAGCTATCAGAGGGGAAGGGGTTAGGGGGCTGGGTGAAAGAGGTGAAGGGATTAAGCAAAAAAAAGAACAGTTCAACTCATAGACATATACAACAATGTGGTGATTACCAGAGGGAAAGGGGGTTGCGGGGAGGTAGATGAGAATAAAGGGAGGATAAATGGTGACAAAAAGAGACTTGACTTTGGATAGTGAACACACAATACAGATGATGTATTATAGGATTGTACACTTAAAACCTACATAATTTTATTAACCAATGTCACCCCAATAAATTCAATAAAAATGTAAAAATAAATAAAAACTATTGTTAAGTGACTATGTATGAAGTCACATATCTGTGTTTCTTGATAACCTTTTTAGACTGTAAAAAATGTGAGTTTATCAAAGGCAATAGATATCAGAAAATTATTCTTTCCCATAAAATTGCAGTAATGCTTTATTTGCCTGGCAACCTCTTGTCTGATAATCTCTGAAGTTTGGAACACAGCTGAGAACTAGTACATAAGGAGCTAAAGACCCCCATGAACAGCCAAGAGAAATCACCCTAAGTCATGAGCTAAACATGCCCACCAATCAGGCCTACAAAAGACCCTTAGAAATTCAACACTGATTTTTTTTTTAACCTAAATGCAATCTTAGCATGCTAGAACTAGAAATCCAAAGCTGTGGTATCCAGTATGGTAACCACAAGTTGTAAATGGCTATTGAGCACTTGCAATGTGACAAGTCCTAATGGAGAGAGACCATAAGTGAAAATACACGCTACATTACCAAGACAGTGTGAAAAGACAATGTAAAATTTTTATTAATTATTTATTTTGGTTCCATAAATAATCATAATTTTTATATAGTGGGTAGTGGGGTAGATAAATGTTATTAAAATTAATTCTACCTTTTAAGAATGTTTTTCTTTTAATCCTCACCTGAGGATATTTTTCCCATTGATTTTTTTTTTTTAGAGAGAGTGGAAAGGAGGGAGAGAGGGGAAAGAGAGAGAAACATCGATGTTAGAGAGACACATCACTTGGTTGTCTCCTGCACAAACCCTGACTGTGACCAGGAATAGGACCTGTATCTCAGGTACCTGCCCTTGACTGGAAATTGAACCCAAGACCTTCAGTGCACGGGCCGATGCTCTAACCACTTGGAAACACCGGCCTTGGCTTAAGAAAGTTTTTAATGTGGCTACAGGATGTTTCAAACCGCTCGTGTAGCTTGCATTATATTTCTACTGGACCGTGTGGGGTCTGGGAGGTGGAGTGTTTGTAAAGGAAGCTCCCAGAGGCGTTGACAGTGCAGTAGAGACTGGAGAGTTATTGAAAAGGCATCTAACCATCTTGGGGACATTTAGCATAGAGATAAACAGACATTAAAGCAGCTTGTGAAAACAGTACTGCATTCTAGACAGCAGTCATTGGTGTCAACCAAGAAGATTGACTTGCCAAAAAGCACCCATGTCATAATCCCTTCTGTTTGAGAGCACAGGGAGGTGCAGTATATATTACAACTCCCTAAGCAGACAATAGCAAATGAAGAAAGATCAGATTTATTGTAGGTAACAGGATTTACAAACATTACCTCAACTACCAGGATTAATCATCTCAAAATATTTTTACATGAAATCCTTGAGACTCAGAGAATTGCCTCCTTTTGGATTATTGGACCATGAGAGCTACAAGAAGCCCTTGAGAAAATTTACTGAGTGTGGGGGCCAGCAAAGAGCCTCAGCTGGGAAGAAGTCATATGGCCTTGGGAATGCAAGGCCTCAGTTTCCCCATCTGTATCATGATGTGTAAGGGTCCACCCAGCTTTCACATACTGCCATCCTGGAACCTTTATAACCCACTCAACTCCAGTGTGTGTGTGTGTGTGTGTGTGTGTGTGTGTGTGTGTGTGTGTGTGTGACTAGTTATCACTCATCAACAAAATCTGTGGCAGTCTAGGAAAGCTGAGGCTGGGGGGTAGGGTGGCAGCCTCCTTCCAAGTCCCTGTCACTGGGAAGCTTGTCAGATGGCTTCCCCAGGCACCCATCTCCCTGGAAGAGCGCGACGGTTTCCTCTTTTACGGCCCTATGCCTGGCTCCTCACTAAATATTTCTATCCAGGCAGCACTTTGGAAGCGAGGCAATGCTTCAATTTAAATGCTTTATTAGCCCAGAGTGCCACCTCAAATCCTTTTTGGAAGCAAGCTGGGTATAAATTACAAATAAATAAATAAAATTAGCCCAGAAGCAGCAGCTGGAGCCAGCCGTTGGAAGGATGGTTGAGGTTTTTGCCATTAATTGGGGCATCCTTTACAGAAGTCCTGCCTGCAGGGGAAAGGAGGACATGTGGGCTGACTTCATTGTTCTTCAGAAAATCTGCCCTGTGCCCACCCCACTCTCCCCACCTGAGGCTTCAATTCCACAGAAGGAAATCGCTTTCACACCTCCTCTGTGTTAAGTGAGAGATGTAGAAAGCATGGTTCCTGCCTTTAAGGGGCTGACCGAGTTAAGGATAAAGAAGGTAAAAAATGACGGGGACCCCCAGCAGAAAATGAACTGAAACCTGAGCCTGGTTCTGCAGTACCATTTTGATTGTCTGGCAGAGGAAGTGGTTGAACTGCAGGGCCGCCCCAGCAACTACCTTGCCACCTCACAGGGGGCCCCAGAGCCAGATGCCCTTCAGGGTAACCTAGAATTGGGGCAGGAGGCCTGGGCCTGTGTGCTCATAGGTACCAGTCAATCTATGTAACCCTGGCTAAGGGCAGTTTTTCCTCTGAGATGCTCTGGCAGCTGGAGGGAAGAAGAGATTCTAGGGGGTGCATACAGAGGAGGACTGGCTCCAGAGAGGCCTTTATCCACCATTTTTCACCATGCAGGTATTAACTGGACACCTGCGGCATGCTGGGCCTCTGACACAAAGGAGACCAAGACTCAGTCCCTGTCCTCTAGGAACTTACAGTTCAGCAAGGGAGACAGGTTCAGATGCATTCACTTACTTCAGAAAGGGCTAACCTCTGTCTTCAGGCTGCTGCTGATAGAGGTCCAAGGCAAGGAGCAGTTCTGCCCAATAGAATCAGGGAAAATGTTCCAGGAGGGGACCTTCGAGTCAGGTTGGGTTGGTATGCAGGAATTCACTGGGCTGAGGGGGAGAGAGTTGTGTCTTGGGCAGAGGGGACAGAACATCCTTGAAGTCAGAGCAAGGCCTGGTTGTCACTGGTCTTGGCAGATGACCCCTGGCAGGACAGATGACAATGCCCTCCCCTTGGCCTCTCCCCAGATGACCCACAAGATCATCAGCATGGACGACAAGTTGTCTAAGATGAGCCGAGCCCTGGCAGCGATCAAGAGGCGGTTTCAGAAGACAGTGTCTCAGTTCATGAATTCTGTCTTACTGGCAGCAGGTAAGGGGGCAGAAAGGTAGGTGACAGCCTATTTGATGGCTTTTCAAATCCTGAGTTACCTGCAGATTGTCTCCAAGGATAGCTCTTTACCACCCCAGGGAGGTGGGCATGACAGGGAGATTTCCCCATTGGTAGATGGAATTACTGGACTCAGAATGCCGAAGGGACTTGCTCAACGCCACACAGCTACTAATGGTGACCTTGGCCACCCTCCATTTTTGAGCACTTTCCTATGTGTCTTTAATGTCTCCATAGGATTATCTTATTTTCCTGGGTCTCATCATCTTTCTGTATGTGTCTCTGTCCCCACTCCCACATCTGGTTCACCTTTTAGCTCCATCTTCTATCTATCCGTTTGCAGCCCCATTCCTCTCTCCTTGTAGATCTCAGCAGAGGAGAAAAAGCAGCTACCTTACCAGGCTGAACTGTTAGGCCCACAGAGCTCCCCATGCTGGCCCTTAGGAAACCCTTCCACATCTGGACTCTTTGCCCTGCTGATGAGCCTGGGGACAAAAGGACATTGACACCCCCCCCCCACAGCACTCCATGCCACCCCCAGGCTGGGCATGGAGGGGTTGTGCTCTCCCCATGACCTCTCTGGGGTATTTCTCCTCACCCCTGAAGACTCAGTTCAACTGTGCCTCTTCTCTGGAAAGCCCTGACTCCCCCAGCAGAAGGGGACACACACTCCTCTGGGCTCCACAGTACTTTATGTGTGCTCTAATAAATCTTACAACCTAGCATTGTGAATATTTCTGTTTGCCCATCCCTCCTATACTGCCATTGGGAGTTTCCAGAGGCAGGGAAGCAGTTGTGGGTGATCTCTCTATGCCCAGCACCCAGCACTCAGTAAATGGTAAGTGAATGAGAGATCCCTGGCCTCAAAAGTTTTCCAGTCTAGTAGGGAAAGTACAGTAAGAATACCGATAGCTGAAACCGGTTTGTCTCAGTGGAGAGAGCGTCAGCCTGCGGACTCAAGGGTCCCAGGTTCGATTCCGGTCAAGGGCATGTACCTGGGTTGCGGGCACATCCCCAGTAGAAGATGTGAAGGAGGAGGCGGCTAAGAATGTATCTTCTGCCCAGGCTGGTGTGGCTCAGTGGATAGAGCATCGGCCTGTGGACGGAAAGGTCCCGGGTTCGATTCCGGTCAAGGGCATGTACCTGGGTTGTGCAGGAGGCAGCTCGATGTTTCTCTCTCATCGATGTTTCTAACTCTCTATCTCTTTCCCTTCCTCTCTGTAAAAAATCAATAAAATATATTTTTTTTAAAAAAGAATACCGATAAATGCAATGTAAGAAAAAAAGTAGATGGAAATGACTTAAACCTGGAGACACAAGGAATAGCATCCTCAGGGAAGGGAACAACATGGATGCATTTATACCCAGTCTCTACATTGAGTGCTGTGGAAGTCACAAAGCTGATAAAACACAGGGTCAATTCAGAGAAGAGGGATCTAAGCTGGGTATGGATGAATGAATGGGAATGGGATTGATTCGTTCTTACATTCAGCCAGCATTTACTGATGCGCTAACCGTGCTAGGCTTGGAGTGCTGTGCCAGACAATAGAGGGCAGGCAGCCCAGCAGAAGAATCTACAGAGTGAAGGAGTGGAGAGGGATATGAACTGAAGGGTGCCCACATGCAGAGCCCTACAGCAGGGAGGTAAGGCCACTGAGAGTAACAGCAGTGTCTTCTGTAAACAGGATTGCTCATCATAGAATATCCATCAAGGGTCATGGGAGAACTAAGTCGAACCAAAATGAGATCCTGGGCCTTTTCCGAGCGGGGCACCAAGCTAAATCTATATTCAGAAGTCTCTGCAACACGTTATCAGTCAGCCCCACCTGAATCCTCGGCTGTACAGTCTCCGAAGGAAGAGCCTAGGTCTGCTCCGATAAGCCCCGCTCCGAAGAAGATCATCAAAATCCACGCCAAAGCCCTGACTACACTCAGGTGGGCTTGAGCCTTCATTTCCTCTAGCTTCTGTGTGCCAGATGCTCTCATGCGTAGTGGACACACACTGGTGAAGAAAATAGATGAGGCCCCTCCCTCTCGGAGCTCGAATCCTCAGGGTGGGCAAAGATAGAAGGTACACACATGAATCACTGAAGTCATTTCGATGGTGAGAAGGCTAGGAAGAAAAGAATTCATGGAAAGCAGAGGTTGGCAATTTAGGGCCATGTGTAAATCTGGCCCTGCTGCTAGCCTTTTTAATGGGTGAGCTTAGAATATTTTTTTATGTATTTAAATGCTGGGGGAGAAATCAGAAGAATTTCTCATGACATGTGAAATGATATGAAATTTGAATATCAGATCAATAAGTAAGGTTTTCTTGGAACACGGCCACACCCTCTCATATACTTAGTATTATCTATGGCTGCTTACCCTGCTAGGACAGACGTCTTGAGTCTTTGTGACATAGTCCATCTGGCCTGCAAAGATTAGGTCATTTGCACTGTGTTCCTTTATAGAAAATGTTGACTAGCCCCGGGGATAGAAAGTGACTAAGAAATGGGGTGGGATGTGCTACATTAGGAAGACAGGTCAGGAAAGGCAGTCTGGAGGAAATGATATTTAACTGGAGACCTGAAGGATAAGAAATAGGCAGCCCCAAAAAGGGATGGGGAAGGAACCTCAGGCAAAGGGTAGAGCAAGTATGAAAGCTCTGAGACAAGAATAAGTTTGGTATGTGTGAGTGAAAGTAAAAAGACCAGTATGGAGCCTCATGGGGAAGACGTAAGAGTTATATAAATTGAGGACAGAGAGAGAGGCAGGAGCCAGATAAGTACACTTGTTACTGTTATAGGAAGTCATTCCATTACTTTTAAGATAAGATGTGACATCATCTGACTTATGGATTTAAAAAAAGAACATTTTAAAGCCCAGCCAGTGTTGCTCAGTGGTAAGCATCAACCCAGGAAGCAAGAGATCACAGTTTGATTCCTGGTCAGGGCCCATGCCCAGATTGTGGGTTCAATCCCCAGAGGAGGGCATGCAGGAGGTAGCCAATCGATGATGTTTCTCTCTCGTAGATGTTTCTATCTCTCTATTCCTCACCCTTGCTCTCTGAAACCAATAAAAATATAAATTGTAAAAAAGAAGGTGACATTTTCATAAAGAGGTAAAGAAGGTGAGAAAGTGAATTGTGTGCCTATCTGGGGGAAGAGCCAAGCAGGCAGAAGGCACAGCAAGAGCAAAGACCTTGAGGTTGGAGGATAAGCACAGGCCAAAGAGGCCAGAACTCAATAAGCAAAGGTGGGCCTATTGGAGAAGAAGAAGAGAGGTAAAGAGGATAAGGCAGGGGGACAGATCATGTACAGCCTGGAAGGACATTGCAGGGACTTTGGCTTTTATTCTAGGAAAGGTGGAAAGCCACTGGAGAGTTTCAAAGAGAGTAGTGACATGATGTGACTCAGATTTTTTTTTTTACTTGCAATTGTATTACTTTATTTCATTTTTTTAATTTATACATTCATTGATTGATTCTTTTTTGTTCTTTATTGATTAAGCTATTACATATGTGTCCTTATCTCCCCATTTCCCCCTGCCCTCTCACTCATGCCCTCACCCCCCTGGTCTCTGTGTCCTTTGGTTAGGCTTATATGCATGAGTACAAGTCCTTTGGTTGATCTCTTCCCCTTACCTTCCCTCTGAGGTTTGACGGTTTGATTGATGCTTTTCTGTCTTTGGATCTGTTTTTGTTTATCTGTTTATGTTTTCCATTATATTCCACAAATGAGTGAGATCATGTAATATTAATCTTTCTCTGATTGGCTTATTTCGCTTCACATAATGCTCTCCAGGTCCATCCATGCTGTTGCAAATGGTAAGAATGCCTTCTTTTTTACCACAGCATAGTATTCCATTGTATAGATGTACCTATCACAGTTTTTTAATCCACTCATCTGCTGATGGGCACTTACGCTGTTTCCAAATCTTAGCTGTGGTGAATTGTGCTGCTATGAACATAGGGGTGCATATATCCTTTCTGATTGGTGTTTCTAATTTCTTGGGATATATTCCTAGAAGTGGGATTGCTGAGTCAAATGGGAATTACATTTTAGTTTTTTGAGAAAACTCCATACTGTTCTCCACAGTGGCTGCACCAGTCTGCATTTTTCTCCACATCCTCGCCAGCACTTGTTGTTTATTGATTTGTTGATGATAGCCATTCTGACAGGTGTGAGATGGTACCGCATTGTTTTTTGATATTATCACAGATAAGGGTTTAATCTCCAAGATTTACAAGGAACTCATACAACTTAACAAAAGGAAGATAACTCAATCAAAAAATGGGCAGCGGACCTAAATAGATACTTTTCGAAAGAGAACATAAGGAAGACCAAAGAGACATATGAAAACATGCTCAAAGTCACTAATCATCTGTGAGATGCAAATTAGATTAAAAAAATATTTTTATTTATTTCAGAAAGGAAGAGAGAGGGTGAGAGAGACAGAAATATCAATGATGAGAGAGAATCATTGATTGGCTGCCTCCTGCACACCCCTGACTGGGGATCTAACCTGCAACCCGGGCATGAGCCCTTGACCAAAATCAAACCCCCTTCAGTCTGCAGGCCAATGCTCCATCCACTGAGCCAAACCGGCCAGGGCTGCATCTTTCTTGAGTGGAGAGCAGACAGGCTTGCTGATAGGTTGGATAGGACATGAGGTTTGAGAGAAAGAAAGGAGTTCAGGATGACCACAAAGCTTGTGTTGGATGGATGAACAATTGAGTTGCTTGTTACTTGAGGATACAGAGGCCCAGAAAGATTAGGGGACCCATTCAAGGCAGTGCTGCAAGGAGATAGGGGGCATGCTGATGGCGGAGGCCAGGGTTGAACTGCCCTCGGCCTAGACTCCACAGCAGTGGGGCCTTTGTCCATGTGGAGTCAGGGCCCACTGAGCGCCTGCCCACTCACTCCTTCTTGCAGGGGGAGGGCCACAGAGATGCGCAGCCACACCAGGAGGGCTGCCTCACCCTCTGACTGCCCACTGGTGCTGCGGAAGCTCATTTGTAAGGAAGACATCCGCGCTGGCTGCAAGTGCATAGTGAAGCCACCCCTGGTATCTGATGTGGAGCTGGAACGCTTCCTGTCGGTGCCCCGTGACCCCAGCCAGGTGCTGGTGTTCGGAATAGTGTCAAGCCACATTCCTACCAGCTCAGGACAGCTCCAGTGGCTGCTCAACACACTCTACTGTCACCGGCAGCAGGGCCGTGGCTCACCCTGCATCCAGGTGGGTTCTGGGCCCAGCAGAGGAGCCCCCAGTGCCTGGGGGTGGGGAGGTGGTGGGGGAGGGCTAGGGCTGGCTGAGCACCTGGCTGAGAGATTGCCTCTCCACTTCGGCACAGGGTCCTCTTTCACTTCCTTTGCTCCTTGGGGCCTTTGCACACACTCTTCCTACTGTTTGCTGTGGTTCTCTCCTGTTCATCCCCCTGTCCCAGGACGAATGTCACCGCATCAAGTGGTTGCCCTTTCTGACCTTGAGACAAAGTCAGGCCCCTGTTGTTTTCTTCCAGAGCACACACCACAGTTTGTGGTTCTGTGCTGGTGTATTTAAAGCAGAACCACACTCACCTCTAGATCCTTAGGGCTAAGGAATGTTTGTAGATAGTAGCCAAGTACCTACTCTGCGCTGGTCCTGTGCAGGTCTCTGCTCCATGTTGACTTTGACATAGCCCTGGAGGGGCTCCCACATGGTGGGGATGTAACTACAGCAAGCCCCAATGAGGACCATGAAAGGACAGCTCTAGGCGGGTAGGAACTGGGGAGCAAGAAAACCCCTCTCAAGGGCCTGGGAGAGCCCCCCAGGATGAAAGGTTTGGGCAGGTGGGTGAGTGTTTCTGGCAGAGGCAGTGTCCTGTGCCAAGGTGAACAGGGGAAAGACCGCTCGAGGTCCCAGTTCATCGTGGGTGAGTCAGTCAGGGGCACATGGAACCACCCCGCCTCCTTGCTGCAGAGTCATTTCTAAATCTCATCATCATCCTGAGTCATTAGCCATTCCAACAGTGTTAGCACAGTTCAAGGGGTGACCCTGTCCCCAGACCAACTGGAGCAGAGGATGCCACATGAGCACAGAGCTGTGTGTCCACTTGATGCCTTCCTTCAAACCCTCTTTGTCTTGGTGCCCTCTCAAGTCTATTGTCTTCACCCATCTTCCTCTGGCTGCAGCCCTTAATTCTGATTTTTGTGTATACCCAGGGGACACCCTCTTAAGCCCTCGTCCCAGGAGTGCCACCTTCCTGACCCTGACATACCCACCCTTGGACCTGCACTCCAGCCAGTGCCAGGAGCTTGGCATTGGAACCCTTCAGATCAGACTCCAGGAGGCTTTTTTCTAGTCTCATACATCAAAGCCACATATGTTTTAAACTTAGAGTTGACTTCAGTTTATTTCAGGGCTATTCATTGTTCACTAATAATTATCCATAAGCACAGGAATGCATGGAGGTGCTGCCCAGCCATGAGCAGCACAAACGGAGTCAGGCCTGGCCTGAGCTGGTTGAAGGCCATGGCAGCAGGATGGAGGAGTGCAGAGAGCAGGCCTGGAGGGTGTTTTCAGATTGCACTGCCTCTGGCCCCACCACTCAGGGTCTTAAGACAGAAACCTTTCCTGATGTTCTCTTGCTCTAATAGCTGGAACACCAGGTGTGGGTCCAGGTTTCACATTTTAAACTGAAAGGTCAGGCAGGACAATTTTGGTGGCACCTGTAATAAAAGGCAGATAAAACCAGAAAGTGTCACATTAGCTTTATTAACAACAGCATCCAGAAAGAAGGAGGAGAAAGAGACCAGTTTTACTCCGGATTGACCAGGCCAAACCTCAAGATTTGGGTTCAGTTCAGTGGGTTTAATGACCAGGAGGTGTCCAGTAGGGCATCCAGCAGGGAGATAGGGGGCAAAAGAATCCTGGAAATGGGTATGCCCAGGAATACCATTCCCATCTTCCAATGTCCACATGGTCTCTCTCAGGCAGAGGAGACAGGAACGTCCCACAGACTCCAGAGGGCCAGGCTAGTGGATGTCACATGGCGGGAGTGATCATCTCTGCGACAGCTTTCACCAATAGAGAGCCCTAAGTGGATCTGGGGACATTCTCTGGGATGCCATGAGTAGGGGTTGAGAAGGGGGTATTGTATGGGGCTCCAGAACTCAGTGGTAACCCGACCTGGCTGAGAACGCAGGAATCTGAGTGCATCCTTTTGGCATGGAGGTGATGGGCATTCATTCTCTTGGCAGTGCCAGCATGACCCCTACCGCCTACTGCGATATGACCTCAACAGCCCACTGCAGAAGGACCCACCCCTGCTGGTGAAGAAGTATGCTGTGATGCAGGGGACCTCCATCCACTGAGCCAAACCGGCCAGGGCTGCATCTTTCTTGAGTGGAGAGCAGACAGGCTTGCTGATAGGTTGGATAGGACATGAGGTTTGAGAGAAAGAAAGGAGTTCAGGATGACCACAAAGCTTGTGTTGGATGGATGAACAATTGAGTTGCTTGTTACTTGAGGATACAGAGGCCCAGAAAGATTAGGGGACCCATTCAAGGCAGTGCTGCAAGGAGATAGGGGGCATGCTGATGGCGGAGGCCAGGGTTGAACTGCCCTCGGCCTAGACTCCACAGCAGTGGGGCCTTTGTCCATGTGGAGTCAGGGCCCACTGAGCGCCTGCCCACTCACTCCTTCTTGCAGGGGGAGGGCCACAGAGATGCGCAGCCACACCAGGAGGGCTGCCTCACCCTCTGACTGCCCACTGGTGCTGCGGAAGCTCATTTGTAAGGAAGACATCCGCGCTGGCTGCAAGTGCATAGTGAAGCCACCCCTGGTATCTGATGTGGAGCTGGAACGCTTCCTGTCGGTGCCCCGTGACCCCAGCCAGGTGCTGGTGTTCGGAATAGTGTCAAGCCACATTCCTACCAGCTCAGGACAGCTCCAGTGGCTGCTCAACACACTCTACTGTCACCGGCAGCAGGGCCGTGGCTCACCCTGCATCCAGGTGGGTTCTGGGCCCAGCAGAGGAGCCCCCAGTGCCTGGGGGTGGGGAGGTGGTGGGGGAGGGCTAGGGCTGGCTGAGCACCTGGCTGAGAGATTGCCTCTCCACTTCGGCACAGGGTCCTCTTTCACTTCCTTTGCTCCTTGGGGCCTTTGCACACACTCTTCCTACTGTTTGCTGTGGTTCTCTCCTGTTCATCCCCCTGTCCCAGGACGAATGTCACCGCATCAAGTGGTTGCCCTTTCTGACCTTGAGACAAAGTCAGGCCCCTGTTGTTTTCTTCCAGAGCACACACCACAGTTTGTGGTTCTGTGCTGGTGTATTTAAAGCAGAACCACACTCACCTCTAGATCCTTAGGGCTAAGGAATGTTTGTAGATAGTAGCCAAGTACCTACTCTGCGCTGGTCCTGTGCAGGTCTCTGCTCCATGTTGACTTTGACATAGCCCTGGAGGGGCTCCCACATGGTGGGGATGTAACTACAGCAAGCCCCAATGAGGACCATGAAAGGACAGCTCTAGGCGGGTAGGAACTGGGGAGCAAGAAAACCCCTCTCAAGGGCCTGGGAGAGCCCCCCAGGATGAAAGGTTTGGGCAGGTGGGTGAGTGTTTCTGGCAGAGGCAGTGTCCTGTGCCAAGGTGAACAGGGGAAAGACCGCTCGAGGTCCCAGTTCATCGTGGGTGAGTCAGTCAGGGGCACATGGAACCACCCCGCCTCCTTGCTGCAGAGTCATTTCTAAATCTCATCATCATCCTGAGTCATTAGCCATTCCAACAGTGTTAGCACAGTTCAAGGGGTGACCCTGTCCCCAGACCAACTGGAGCAGAGGATGCCACATGAGCACAGAGCTGTGTGTCCACTTGATGCCTTCCTTCAAACCCTCTTTGTCTTGGTGCCCTCTCAAGTCTATTGTCTTCACCCATCTTCCTCTGGCTGCAGCCCTTAATTCTGATTTTTGTGTATACCCAGGGGACACCCTCTTAAGCCCTCGTCCCAGGAGTGCCACCTTCCTGACCCTGACATACCCACCCTTGGACCTGCACTCCAGCCAGTGCCAGGAGCTTGGCATTGGAACCCTTCAGATCAGACTCCAGGAGGCTTTTTTCTAGTCTCATACATCAAAGCCACATATGTTTTAAACTTAGAGTTGACTTCAGTTTATTTCAGGGCTATTCATTGTTCACTAATAATTATCCATAAGCACAGGAATGCATGGAGGTGCTGCCCAGCCATGAGCAGCACAAACGGAGTCAGGCCTGGCCTGAGCTGGTTGAAGGCCATGGCAGCAGGATGGAGGAGTGCAGAGAGCAGGCCTGGAGGGTGTTTTCAGATTGCACTGCCTCTGGCCCCACCACTCAGGGTCTTAAGACAGAAACCTTTCCTGATGTTCTCTTGCTCTAATAGCTGGAACACCAGGTGTGGGTCCAGGTTTCACATTTTAAACTGAAAGGTCAGGCAGGACAATTTTGGTGGCACCTGTAATAAAAGGCAGATAAAACCAGAAAGTGTCACATTAGCTTTATTAACAACAGCATCCAGAAAGAAGGAGGAGAAAGAGACCAGTTTTACTCCGGATTGACCAGGCCAAACCTCAAGATTTGGGTTCAGTTCAGTGGGTTTAATGACCAGGAGGTGTCCAGTAGGGCATCCAGCAGGGAGATAGGGGGCAAAAGAATCCTGGAAATGGGTATGCCCAGGAATACCATTCCCATCTTCCAATGTCCACATGGTCTCTCTCAGGCAGAGGAGACAGGAACGTCCCACAGACTCCAGAGGGCCAGGCTAGTGGATGTCACATGGCGGGAGTGATCATCTCTGCGACAGCTTTCACCAATAGAGAGCCCTAAGTGGATCTGGGGACATTCTCTGGGATGCCATGAGTAGGGGTTGAGAAGGGGGTATTGTATGGGGCTCCAGAACTCAGTGGTAACCCGACCTGGCTGAGAACGCAGGAATCTGAGTGCATCCTTTTGGCATGGAGGTGATGGGCATTCATTCTCTTGGCAGTGCCAGCATGACCCCTACCGCCTACTGCGATATGACCTCAACAGCCCACTGCAGAAGGACCCACCCCTGCTGGTGAAGAAGTATGCTGTGATGCAGGGGATGGTTCTGGTGAGCCGGAGCCCAGCAGGGGACTCACCATCAACTACCAGCTGCCCCTGTCTCCATAGCCCCTACCCTTGTGGAGTCACAGATGTGGGAGGGGGTTTTCTCCTAGCCTGGCCTCCTGTCTCCACATTGACCCCATGTCCCCAATCCCAGGAGACTTGAGCACTTAACTGGAAAGTCAAATTCTCTTTATCTGTTTGTAGATTTTAAATAACATAAAAAGGCTATTTCCTTTTTGTTTGTTTTTTGTCCATGACAAATAACAAATGAATATCCATACTAATGACTATCCTTGCACAGAAATCAGAGAGTGGGAGCATGGAGGGCTATAGAGCAAGATCCTTGCCCTCAAGGGGCTCCTATCCCATGGGAAAGCTGATCAGTGTATCAGAGTGGGTTTGAGGCCAGCTGCCTGGGAGCAGGAAGACACCCTCTGGCCTCAGAGTTCTGGGAGGTCTTGTATATGAAGTGACATTTGAGCTGGTCCATCTGGCAGAGGGGAGAGGCTGGGATGATGGGCGTCTGACCTGGGGGACCTAGACAGAGGACAGGCTTAGCCACACCTCAGTGGGTGACTTGGGAAGGTTAACACCTCTTCCCGGGCACCAAAGAGAGGCCTGGATTCTGGCACAGGCTCTGAGAGTTTCAGTGCTGATGTGCTGAGGGCCTCTCCTTTGTTTCCTTCCTGTCTGTCAGCAGATGTTCGCTGGGGGGAAGCTCCTGTTTGGGGGCTGCGTTTTGAATGGATACGGCTTCAGCAAGCAGAATCTGCTGAAACAGATCTCCCAGGCTCGGCAGGACTGCAAGATGGGCTACTTCATGCCAGAGAACTACAAATTTAGGTACAATGGGAAAAGTTCGGACCGAGGAAGGATGGCGGCAGGCAAGGGTGGGGTGGAGGGGAGGGAGGAGTCGGCACTGTGGAAGGGGCACTGGTGAGCCAGAGGAGTGAATTGAGGAGGGGTCCGCAGTAGAAGCTGGCATGGAAGGACTTTGCGGGTGGGCTGGGTGGGAATGAGAGCAGGCTGTGAGGGGGTGTGCCAGGCCGTGCTGTTGGTTTCTTTGGGACACAGGCCTTGGAAAAGGGCCCTCTTGGAGAAAGAGGGCCACAGAATCATTTGCCCAGTGCTGGTTTCTGTAGGGAAATCATGGAGACGGGCATTTGGGTAGGGTCCCTAGTGACACCCCGCCTTTTGTCCCATTGCACCCCACTCCATCTTGTGTGTGATCCAAGCCCTGCCTCTACTTTGTTTACTGGCAGGGCCACATAGGCAAGGGCCATTCATGGAGTGATCTCAGGTCCTGGTAAAAGGAATTGGGGTGGCCTGGCTTAAGTCTGCCTCTCGGCCTCGGAGCTCTGGCTTTTCAACCAGGTGATGCTCATTACAGAGCATAACTGGGGCCCAGCTTGGGTGAGATGTACAAAGACAGATCTCTGGACTCAGGAAGCATACAGCCTGGTCCATTGCTGAAGGCTGTATTAGGTGAAAGGAGCGGATTCTAGAAGGCCTGGGCCATGTGGTGCAGCAGAAGACTGACTGGGTCAGGGGTCCTACGATGAGGCTGGAGCCCCTGCTCTGCTCTTCACCATCTGGGTGACTATGGCCTAATCCATTTGCCTTCCTAAGCCTACTTTCCTCCCCTTAAAATAAGGGTGATGATGCCCACCTCACCGGGTTGTTGTGGAGATCTTCTGGAAGTATGTTTGCTGGAGTGCTTTATAAACCTGCGTGCAGACATAGGTTTGCCTATGATTGCACCCCCACTGCACTGAGTTGGGCATCCCCCACTCCCACAAGGCCCCTCAGCTTTCTAGGAGTCCTGACTTCAGTCTCTCCCTCATGTGCTGAGTTTGGGGCTTGTCAGAATGTCTGCCAGATCCAAAAGAGGTTTGGGGGAATTCGCTCCAGAGAAACCGTGGAGGTCACACCATGACCCAACTATCCTGGAATGCTTAGTGGAGGAGGCAAGGTCTAGAGGGGGCTATGGATGTTAGGAAGATGCAGAGAGAAAAGCCACTGAGAGCCTCCAGGCTTTGCTAACTCTGTCCTCGGGTACCTCTACAGTTCCTGCAAAAGAGGCATCAAGCCAGGCCCTGGGAAGAGAGTGTGAGTTCTGTGTGTGCACAGGGACAGGGCGTGGCAGAGCTGACCCTCAAACCTCCCTGTCCCAAGCTGCCTCCCCGCCTCCACAACCCAGTAGCTGCCCCTACCAGCCATGGCAGTTCTCAGCAAGGCTTGGTGCAGCTCCGGGGTTTGGTGGCACTGTGAGAGCCACTCTGTTAGGAGACCCAGAGACATGTGAGGTGTAGGCCAGACCTGGTTGGTGAGATAAGACTTGTCAGCTTATGAAGAGGAGAAAGTAGAAACCTGCCAGAATGAGGCAGTGCCGGCTCTTCATGTGTTAGGATGCCACTGTGGACCCATTCATGAGTCCTAGGAAGACCTGTGGGAGTAGGGTCCTCTGCTGAAGGAGAAGCAGGCACTGGATAAGCAGGGGAAGGGCATGTTGTGGGAAGCGTCGGTGACTTGATCATATAGGCAGTGGGGAGCCATTGAAGGTTCTTGAGCTGGGGAGAAGCTTGATCAGAATTGGCTCTTATTTATTTTATTTTTCAGTTTCTTTTTTTAATTTATCTTTATTGTTGAAAGTATTACAGTACTTCCCTCCCCTGCCCCCCCACTGACACCCTCCATCCCGTTCCTGCACCTCCTCCCCAGGCCTTCACCGCACTATTGTCTGTGTCCGTGGGTTATACATATATGTATATAAGTTTTTTTGGTTAATCTCTTCTTGCGCCCCATTGCAGTGTTGTGAAGTCACTTGAACTTTGTGTGTGTGCTCCCCATCAGGCAGGGCGGCAGGGTGAGCTGTGAAGGGAGACGTTAGTTTACTAAATGCCAACATTGTGAATATACCCAGATTCTGTGACCCCGTTTTGGTGGCATTCCATTTTTTATTTTGGGGGGGCCCTTGCAATGATAGAGGAGACCCCCCTCTCTCTTCTCCCTTTGTCTCTTATCTCTGAACTGCTCTTCCCTTAATCTAGTCGCATAGCAAGGGCTCAAAAAATATGAAGAAACAATGAATGAAAGGGCTGGTCCTGCCTCTGCCATGAACCTACTATGTGCCCTCCAGCTCCCCTCTCTGCTCTTGTCGATAAAATGGGCACCCTGCACTTCCTGTTCCCTAGGGCCACTGGGATGCTCAAAGCCATCTTGTAACCCGAACAGTGTTTGCATACAGTGAATGGCTGGAAAGCCTTGAGCTGTGGTGCAAAGGTGAGGAGTAACTACACATGTTCATTAGTTTCCTAGAGCAGTGTGACACTTCCGCAAACTAAAATGTATTGACTTGTGGTTCAGGAGGCCAGAAGTCTGAGATGCAGGTATGGGCAGGGCAGGCTCCCTCTGAGGGTGCTAGGAAGGATCTAGTTCAGCCCTCCAAGCTCTGGGCATTCCTAGGCTGTGGCTGCACCACTCATCTTTTATTTATTTATTTTTTTAATCCTCACCCAAAGATATTTTTTTCATTGGTCCTTAGAGAGTGGAAGGGAGGAAGGAGGGAGGAATGAAAGAGGGAGGGAAGGTGGGAAGGAGGGAGGGAAACATGAATGTGAGAAAGAGACATCAACTGATTGCCTCCCCCATGTGCCCCAACTGGGGTTGGAGATCAAACCTGAAACTGAAGTACGTGCCCTTGACCAGGAATTGAACCCATGACCCCTTAGTCTACAGGCAAACATTCCAACCACTGAGCCAAACCAGCCAGGACAGCACCACTCATCTTCACATGGTGTTCCCCTAGGTGCATGTCTGTGTCCACATGTCCCTTTTTTATAAAGACACCAGGTATATTAGTTGAGGCCCACCCTACTCTAGTATGACTTCTCAGCTCACTACATCCGCAGTGACCCTATTTCCTACATCTTGGGGTACTAGGGGTTAGGACTCCTGTATATGAATTTGGGGGGGATACAATCCATAACATTGTACATGATGACTTATTTTCTTGGCTTCCTGTTCTCTCCTTTGCTCGTTTGATGGTCAGGCTGTGTGTACAGGTGTCGTGGGCATGGAGTTAGGGCAATTCCAATCTGAAAAAGAAGCCAGGGAAGCCAACCCCAGTGAACCTCTAGGTCCCCAGGGGTCAGGTCTCCCTTCACCCTTCCTCTGGAGAAGCACCTGCGCCCTTTTCTCTCTAGGGACTGGAACATTGGGGCGCAGCTCTGAGTGAGGGCTGCTTGCCCAGACACCCCCAGCTCTGGGCCCCCTCTGACTGGGCCTCCACTGAGCACTGCCCTCCCCACCCTGCCTCCACAGCAGCGTTTTACCCTCCTTCCTGGGCCTGGATGAAGCTGAGTCAGACAAGAGAACAATTTTGGAAGACATCCAAGGAAGCATCTCCTCGTTGACCGTAGGGGACAAGATGGAGGACTATTTCCCTGAACCTGAGAAGAAGTAGGTGGTCTCCCAGCTCGGGGGCTGAGGGGCCCTCTTGTGGTTGGCAGAATAGGCATGACTCCCAGAGGCCACAGGGGGCTAAGTGACCTTGGGGAGTCACATCTCCAACAATCTCTGACCTCTGACCTCTTTTATCAACATACTGCCCAGTTGCTCTCCCTGGTCTGGTTGGCGGAGATTGAAGCCTTTAAGCTTGTGGTGAAACCCCACACCTCAGACCCATCTGTCTGTCTGAGAAGGGTGGAGACCGCAGGCTGTCTTCCTGCATAAACTTCCTAGACTTGTCAAGTCCACTGACTTGGCCGTATTCACTGTGAAGCGAATCATGTGTCCTGAAAGAACGTGAAAAATCGCACACTTCTCATGAAGATAGAAAAGCATAACCGTGAGCACCTAGAAAAGTCACAGGTGCACTGGAGCCCCAGGTTGGAGCGATGCTGAGAGGACCTCAGCTGTGCAAGGTGGAGGCCATGCTCATCTCGGCCCAGGCCAGCGCAGGGATCAAGTTCTGTCCAGACCAGCCCTCTCCACCCATTTCCCAGCATTTGCTTCTCTCTATTTTGATTTTTAGGATGAATCTGCATCCTCTCATCCAAGGCAGGAGGGACAGTAAGAAGATGAACTCTTGGAAGAAACAGGCCTCCAAGAAGTGATGCAGGCCCCTTGACCACCAGAGTGCCAGGCCTGGATGAGGCTCCTCCCTTGCCCACCTGCCCTGCCCCTGCCTCCAGCATCTGGGTGAGGCCATGGGCTAGGCTGGCTCTACAAGGCCAGAGGCCCCCAGCAGCCCGGTTCTAGGTCCAGTCCTTGGGAACTAGGGTGCTCTGACCCAGAGCTGCTTCTGTGACCAGTGAAGCAGCCTGGATTCTCCCGCTCCCAAGGAAACAAACCTGACCAGGGGGCCAAGCCAAATGAGACGTTACCATGGAGGTCTGGGATGGGACTAAACTGTGCCCTCCTCCCCTTCACTGGTTGGGAATGGCTCAGGTTCTGGCCCAAGTGGAAAACAGGGTTGTGAGAGAAGAGGGAGAGGGAAGACAGGAAGAAAAATGCAGAGCAGAGGGAGACGAAAGTAAGGGAGAGACAGGAGAGAGATGATAAGAAGGGAGAGCCCAGGAGGGAGGGTTGGGGGATAGGGAGCTGAATGGGAGGTGGGAGGGAAGAGGAAATGAGGGAGGAGGGAGAATAAAAGGCAGGTGGAAAAAGAGGGAGAGGGCCCTGGAGTAGGACAGAAGAGGCAGTGACAGGCCACATCCAGGAACCCTTTGGTGGCACCTGGAAAGCCAGAGCCCCTGTGGCCCATTTAGCCCACCCTCATTACCCAAGCTAACAGGCCTGAAGAAGCCTTACCACCATCAAGGGCCCAGAGATGGCAGCCCATGGGTGTGCTGATGCCTCCCTGGTGGCACCTGAGAGGCACAGACAGCACACCTGCTCTGGCCCCCTGCTTGTCTGCGGCTCTTCCCAGGAGCAGGGTGAGGACCCCGGAGGGTCTGCCTTGTTCTCCAGGCCTGGAAGAGAGACTTCAGGCCCTGAGCTGTGGGTGGCGTTCAGTGACATGCTCTATACTTGATTACTTGTGCTCCCTTTGTAATAGATGCTTTTTAAATCTGAATTTTTAAGGTTTAATTGTTTAAAATTTATCTTTATTGTTCAAAGTGTTATAGATGTCCTCCTCCTCCCCCCCGCCCCCATTAACCCTCTCCGCTCTACACCTGCCCCCATCATTTGTATCATTGAAAGGCTTTTTTTTTTGGATTATACATTTGTCCCCTGGTAATGGATTTGAAATGACGTACTATGTTCTTAAGCCTGCATCCTTTGATACTTAGGGGTCCTGGGCGTCTTACCACTCTCCCGTCTTCCCCTTCTGAGCACAAGGACACATAGAATTAGAAGGAAGGGGAAGCAAGGTCCACCTCTGTCTAGTCAGCCTGTGCATACTGGATTTACATGTATATGCTGCCTATGAGGTCTGGGAAACCCAGGGAGAGGCCTGACAGAAGCAGACACAAATCTTCTCTGAAGATGTTTACTCTCAACCCAGACCTCATAGGATTCCCACAGAGAGAACCCAGTTGAATATTAGCTCACAATCCAAAATTTAAAAAGACACATCAAAGTGAATGAAAACAGATATCAAATATTAAATTAGACATGCAAGACTTTGGATATTAGAATTGTCGGGCACAATGTAAAGTGAATATTTTCAGTGTTTAAATAAACAAAAGGATCTGAAAACATAAGCAAGGAACAAGATGTTATCAAGCAAGAAAGATATGGACTGAATTTTGCTTCCAGACACATCGGGGTAACTGAGACTGGAGTGTCCTCCTAACACAAACAACCAGGAAAGAGAAACAGAGTGTGTTCTATAATCCCTCCAGCTTTCTGCCAGACATGCTTTCTGGATCATGATGTGGAGAAGGAGAGTTCAAGCACAGTATGGAGTATTGCTGAGCTGGGAGACAGATCGGAGTTTGGAGAGACAGCGGTGAATAGAATTTGTGGAGCAGAGCATCAGAGAAGAGGGAGCTATGCAGAGAGAACTCGAAATTTGCATAGGGATCTCCTTGAGTCTTCGGCTGCATGCTAAACTGCACATGTTTAGGGTGTGGCTTCGTGAGGTCTGGTAAAGTACTAGATTTCCACAGGTAAAAGAATGAAGTGGGACCCTTCCCTAACACCACATACAAAAATTAACTTCAAATGCATCAAGAACCAAATATAAGACCTAAAACAATGAAACTCTTGGAAGAAAACAGGACAAAAGCATTGTAACATTGGATTTGGCAGTGATTTAATGGACATGACACACAGGCACAGGCAACAAAAGAAAAAATAGACAAATTGGACTTCATGAAAATTTTAGAAATGTGTGCATCAGAAGACACTCTCCAAGGAATAAAAAGGTAGCCCACAGAATGGGCAAACATATTTGAAAATCATATGCTGATAAGGGATTAATAGCCAGAATATATAGAGAACTTCTAAAACAGCTTAATGCAAAACTGGGCAAAGGATTTGAATAGTCATTTTTCCTAAGAAGATATACAAATGGCCAATAAACACATGAAAAAAGGCTCAATGTCAGTAGTCAGTAGAGAAATGTAAATCAAAATTATAATGAGTTACCATCTCACACCCATTAGGATAGCTACTATCAAACAGAAAACAGCAAGTGTTGGTGAGGATGTGGAGACAAAGGAACCCTTGTGCACTATTGCTGAGAATAGTAAGCTGCTGTGGAAACCAGTATGGGGGTTCTTCAAATAATTAAAAATAGAATTACTATATGACCCAGCAATCTTACTTCTAGGCATCCAAAAGAATTGAAGGCAGGTTCTCGAAGAGATATTTGTACACCCATGTTCATAGCAGCATTACTCACAACTAGAGGCCCGATGCACAAAATTCATGCAAGGGCCTTGGCCCTGGCTCCTGCGCGCTGCCATGGCCAGGGGCCTCAGCCCCCACACACTGAGGTTTTGTCTGGAAGGAAGGACATCTGGTCTAATTAGCATATTATGCTTTTATTATTATAGACTAGAGGCCTGGTGCACGAATTTGTGCATGAGTGGGGTCCCTCTGCCTGGCCTATGGGATCGGGCCGAATCCGGCTCTCTGACATCCCCCGAGGGGTCCCGGATTGCAAGAGGGCACAGGCCAGGCCAAGGGACCCCACCGGTGCACAATCGGGGCCGAGGAGTGACACCAGAGGTTGGCCAGTGGGGGAGAGACCACGGGAGGGCTCCAGGGGGTGTCCGGCCCATCCTGCTCAGTCCCAATCGGCCAGACCCCAGCAGCAAGCTAACCTACCAGTTGACTATCTGCCCCCTGGTGGTCAGTGCACGTCATAGCAAGCAGTTGAGCAGCCTTAGCATATCATTAGCATATTACACTTTGATTGGTTGAACAGCCAACCAGTTGACCAGACACTTAGCATATTTGGCTTTTATTATATAGGAGGATAGCTAAAACATGGCAGCAACCTGTGTCCATTGGCAGATGAATAGATAAGCTAAATATGGTATATACATTCAATGGAATATATTCAGCCTTAAAAAGTAATAAAATTCTGCAATGTACTATAACATGGATTAACCTTGAGGACATTAAGCTGAGTAAAATGAGCCACTGACAAAAAGATAAATACTGTATGATTCTATTCATATGAGGTTCCCTAGAGAAATCAAAATCAGAGACAGAAAGTAGAATGGTAGTTGCCAGGGACTGGTGGGAAGAGAGAAATTGTTTAATGGGTATGGAGTTTTAATTTTACAAAATTAAAATATTTATGTGGATAGATGTTTGTAGTGGTTGCAGAACAATGTGAATGTATTTAATACCAGTTAACTGTACTGAAAATCCTTAAGATGGCAAATTTTATGTTCATTTATATTTTACCAAAAAAAAAAAACACCCTTGCCTTGGTCCATGTTGCTAAGTGGTTAGAGTGTTGTCCCATGTACTGAGGGGTTATGGGTTCAAGTCCAGTCAAGGGCACCTACCTGGGTTACAGGTTCCATCCACGGCCCTGGTCAAGTACATGCAGAAGGCAACCAATCGATGTGTCTTTCTCACATCGATTTTTCTTTCTCCCTCCCCCTCCCTCCCCCCTCTCCCTTTTCCTCTCTCTTTCTCTCTCCCTTCTTTCCTTCCACTCTCTCTAAAAATCAATGGAAAAATATCTTTGGGTGAGGATTAACAACAACAACCAAAATACTCTGAAGCAAACATTTTTCTTAATGGAAACACTTTAAATGCATTCCCCTAAAGTTAGGAACAAGACAAGGGTACTGTTGTCAACACCACTATCCAAAATATATTGGAAATCCTGAATACTATATGGAAAGAAAAAGAAATAAGAGCATCTTGGTGAATTCAGTCTGCTATCCCAAACTACCATAGACGGGGTAGTTAAGCAACAGAAACTTACTTCTCGCTGCCGGGAGCCTGGGAGATTAAGGTCAGAGTGCCAGCATGGTCGGGCTTTGGTAAGGACCCTCTTCCTGGGCATGGCCTTCCTCCTGATACAGCTTTCCTTGGTGTATGCTCACAGAGCTCTGTCTCTTCTTCCTTTTAGAAGGGTACCAATCTCATCATGAGGGCTCCACCCTTGTGACAGCATCTAAACCTGATCACCCCCCAAAGACTTCACCTCCAAATGCCATCACATGGGGG